CACCTGCTCAGGGCCTCGCTAGCCGCCCTGTGTCTGTCTTGCCGCGGCCTCGGCTCCCTTTTCTCTTTTCACTCAGGACAGTGCTTACCAGGTGCTCTCAAAGTCCTTCTGAAATCAAGTTACATCATGTCTACTGGGGATTTCTCCGTAAAAGCCCCTTAGTATTTCTATAACACTTAAAATGGAGAGCTACCATAACACAAGAAGTTAACCTGCTGTGGTTAGTGCTGTATATCAGGTATAATGTCCTACTGTATTACAACAAAAGCATGTTTCTGCTTCCCTGCAACTGCAATGAGTGTAGGCTTTGTTAAAGATCCTAATTATAGGTCATTCCTTGAAGACTCCAGTTGTTTGGAACTGTAGCTAAAATCTGTAAAGCGTTTAAGGTGCCTGATGTGCTATAGGTGCCATACAAAGTTGTAGTCTTATCAGGTTCAGGAACTTGCAAAAATACTAATATGTGGCATGCCCGTCGTGGTTTCCATTTGGGGATCTCAGAGAATGATTATTAACCAAAACTCCTTTGATCTGAAATGCTTTTTGTGTTCCTCTTGATTTTTCACCCTGTCTGCCAACAATTGTGAACAGTGATTAGAGACATTCAGAGAGAAAACTAAAGACGTTAAAATTCAAAATTGGTCAATTTAAGTATTAGTCTTTGCTGGTTTTTGTAGTTAATAGCTCTAAATGAGATCAAAGAATTTTTATATTTGTTGAGAGCTGACAGGTTAAAAATCTTTGCTTGTACTGCTTATAAGATGAGATTATAATTACGATACCATTGGAATGTAAAAGAACCAACATTCCTAAATAATGCTGCTCCTGGTGTCAGCAGTTAGGGAGCAAGTTTCAGGAAGAAAAGGTCTACAATACAGAATACATAACGTTGTAGCAACTTCTGAAGCAGAACCTAAAGGTAAGCTGTCATTCAGACTGCAGTGTTCAACACTGCATATGTTGCATGAGAAGACAGCTTGCATTCCTACAGACTTTTGACGTAGTTATAGGTGGGCCTTAAAAGAGGGAAAAGAAAGAGAGAGTGTAGTGGTACAAGTTAATGCAAGAAAAATGTCACTAGGAAAACAGCTAACAAAAAAAATTCTGTCAAAGGCAACTTATTTGGAAATAAAGTACTAAAAATAAGAATTAAAGTACTTTGGGTTTAATATTCTCTACAATGAGGATCCCAACAAATTCTGGAGAAAGCCGCAGAAAGACTTTTAGCAGAATCTAATTAGTTAAGTAACAAATGATTTGTTGAAGGCATGTAGGAAAACCTTTCTATGTTTTTTGAGGGCATTTGTAACAGGCTTCAACACTGATTTCCAGTGTCGGGTGTGAGAGAATAAAGGAGAAATCAGGGATGACTGAGGTGCACTTTTAGGCGAGGGTCCTTGCGCAGTTTTTCTTCGAGAGCAAGGTATTTCTGTGGTGCCACCTGTTTTTCCCTAAGACAAGAAGGGGAGGAATGTCAGACAAAAACGGTAGCAGGGCATAGAATAGAATATTTTACAGAATACCTTCAGTGCTGAGTTTCTGGGAGTGTTAACTTGTAGATCTCCTCTGCACCCCTAGACATTGTATTCAGTCAGTCATTCTTTCCCATTACCTCTTGAGCCTCAAGGCTAGAACGCGGATACGGAACATGGTTTCAGAGCAATAGGCTAAGAAGTCAGCTTCGTCCTCCATGCTGAGCTGATTCTGGTTTTCCTGATACCACTGATCCTTCTTCTGCAGCTCCTCTACCTCCTGATGGGGAGTGAGCAACAAGAAATTGGGGGAATAGACAGGAGAGTGTGGAGCAAAAATACACAAAAGTGCAACTCAAAGTTCGGGAAGCCAAGCTGAAGGAAGCCATAAATAACAGTCATCTTATTTCCAAAACAGGAACCAAATTTGACCCTAGGGCTATTCCATCATTTGATCTCACTTTCTATCTAAAGACAGAAAAATATAAAGGCATGTTTATAGCTCTCTTAAAGTAATCAAAGGAGTCTTGTTTCTTGCCTGTTCTCAAAATTAAGAAATATGTGTTACCCTCCTGCCAGAGCAAAAGACGCTCCCGTAACATGCACATCCCAGCACAAGGCTGGGGATACCTTTTGTAAGTGAGCTTGGATGACGTTGGCCTTGTCAGTGAGACGACGCTTAAAATCAGTCAGGCAGTCTTCCCTGAGACGCAAGGCCTGCCACTTGCTCATTTTCTCTATATTGCCAATTTGAATCAGAAAAGGTGCTAGGTAATCCAGGTCCTGCTCCTCTTGTCCCAGGAGGTCATCCTCCATTAAATCATCCTGGAGGGGAAAGGATGAAAAGAGTCATGATCCCATTCACTTGTGTCCCAAACATCCTGTGATAAGGCAAAATAAGAGCAAAGGCCAAAACTCTTATACCCTGCTATGAAGGAAATAATAATGTTTCTTTTTCTTACAGTC